AACTGAGAAGGAGGCTTCAGACCTTAGCTGACATGCCTGAGCACCTTTCAGAGACATAGCCATAAATCCTACCCTTGGGAGAACCCTGTAGAATTCATCACTTCTTTAAGAGGTTTGATTCCAAATCGAATCACTATGTATCAAGTATCACTGCCATCTTATAGCTCCTTAAATGTCCACATTGCTTCTGTGAATGCAGTGGAAAGAAAGGAGGTGGGAAGGAAAAGGTCATGCTAATCTCAGTTGATACGTTAGGTGCCAGGTACAACACAAACCAGAGGCATTTAAGCCCAGTTGACCTTGGTAACTTGATCTCTTACATTCCAGCCAAGGAAATAAACACTGGTGAATAATGTCTCAGAGATGCTTAATGCTTTTACATTTACAGTATGCTTTTCCACTTTTTTAACCTCATCACACTCTGAAGCAAGGAGACGTAGCTTCAGAAAGAGTAAGCAATTTGTCTGAAGTCCCCTGCTCAATATTTAGTACAACTAAGATGGATCTTGGGGAGACCCCAGAGTGCTGTAAAAACTTTGGTGTTCTATGAGTCTGGTTCTAGCCTCAGTGCTGCCACTTATTAACTTTGTGGTCTTCTTCAAGTTTCACTGTTCTCTATTTTTAAATGGGTATAACCATAGTATCTGCCCCATGAATTTCTTGGAAGAGTAGAAAGACATGATGCATAAGAAGAGTTTGGCAGAGTTCCTGGCATAGGAAAATTACAGGGACAGCTAACTTTTAGTATTTGTTCAACTCTCCATCCAACTTTGGCTACAAATAATAGAGCAAATTAACTAAACAAGTGAAGTTATTTTCTCATAGTTGGAAGGCAGGTAGTCTTGGACAGGCCAGCAGATGAAGGCTACCAGAAAAGATGACTTATCTTCCTTCATTGTGATTTGTTCTCCATCAAATATTGGCTTGTTTCCTCAGGGCTACAAAGTGGTGGCTGCATCTTCCTCCATCATGTTTGAGAGAAAGGGGGTATAGTATCTGTTGCATTTTACTCTTTTGTAAGGAAAGCAAAAACCTTCCCAGAAGCCCACTCCAACCATAGCAGATGCTTCAGTATTGACCTAGACTGTCTTCTAACTATTCACCACTATAAGGACACTTAGAAAGTGAACATCTATCTTTTTAAATTATATTATTAGATGTAATAATAACTAAAATGATTATATTAAATTATAGAAGTTACAAGGAAGAAAGTGTGTGAGAATGGGAATAGATTGAGCCTACTGCATTTGCCACAATTGTTCCTACCTCTCACAATGTCGTTAAATTTTTTTTCATTGGTCATCAAGTGTTGATGGCTTAGTTGATCCTAGTCAGAAGCACTTTCCCAGACTGGTTCCCTTTAATTATAACAACATGTGCATTATTTCACATGTACCTATTTTTCTTAACTTTTAAGTTGTCATATATATACATGAAAGTGCATGATATTTTTAGATGCTTAGTTGATTTTATACTACTTATCCTAATAAAGCACTACTCACTTCAATACAGAGACCATTCCTAGCATCCCAGAAATCTTCCTTTTTTCTTCTATTTCTACTCCCTCTCAGAGGTGACTATTAGTTGGATCTCTGAGCTATGGGCCAGTTTTATCTATTCTTTGACTTCACATAAATGGAATTGTATATTTTTGTCCTTTTGAGTTGATTTCTTTCACTCACTTACCTGTCATGGTAGTTCATTTGCTTCCTAAATTCTCTCTGTGCTTTGTCTCTGCCCAAATCTATAATAAGAACCATTATGAGGACCAGATTATCAGGGAAGTCAGCTTTTCTCCCTCACAAAGTATCATTTCTTCATTAAAAAAAAAAAAAAAAAAGAACCTCCTGGTGATGGTTTGCAAAACTTGTCTATGTACTGCTCCCTCCAGCACCACATCTACTTTAAAAGGAATCTCTTGGAAACTTGTATATTTGCCTTCAATGCTGTCAGCATAAAAGAATTTTCTTGAGTATGTCTTCATTTGGAGAGGGTGGAAGAACAAAGTAGGAGGGAGATACTTTCTGGAAGGACAATTTTAGGCAAGGGAAAGGAACTCTAACTAAAGGTATCTATCTTTAGGAACTGAGCCAGTAAATTTGCCTCCAGAGCAGATATTGTTGGGCTGCTGTGTCCTTCCCTTCTGGCTTCTCAGTTTAGAGTTCAAGCGTGTAAGAAGCTCACAACAACTCTGTCTCCTGGGGCTGGGAAAACTGATTTGAATTCAGACTGACTCTGAGAAGTCTTTCGCCTTCCCTTGCCCCGCCAGGGTGTGGGTGGTGGACATTCCCTAATAAAGCCAGTGCGGTTTTTGCAGGAATAAAACTGAGATGTTTCAGTGGAGTCTTAAATGAAGATGAAAGGGAGTAATTATTCTTACAAGTATAGTCATGTGGTTAAGTCAGGGATCAAGGAGAAAAATTGAAATTATGCAGTTCTCTTGGCCAGCTGTCATCTTTCCTCTAGGTATTTGCTGATTTCGTGGTTGCTGGGATAATGTACAAAAAATATTCTGCAGCGATTTTATCAGGGATTCTTTGCTTGATGGCTAGAACACTGCAAAGGGGTTGATTTGGCAAACTGGGTCATTACGCATGCCCCTTCAAGTCTAGCGCCCTACACTTACATCTGTGTAGATAATGGAGGTAAGAACCACCTGAATTCACTTCTCTGACATCAGATGACCAACCTTGAATTTAGCCATGTTTATTGCTACAATTTTAAAATATTTTATTTAGTTTATTGTTTTCTGTGGCCCTGCCCCTTGCTAGGGATTTTGGATTATTTCAATTATTCTTCATAGGATCTAGTGAAGATAGGCAGGATTGTTTCCACTTTACAGGAGTAGAGAATTAACTTACCTGCTAGTATGTAACAGGTAGTAAGGAGCTCCATCACTGTATCTTTCAGATTCCAAAGGTCAGTCACCTCATGCTGCACCACACTGCCTTTTGTAAATAGCTGCCTGCCTTTCTCTTCCCCACACTCCTGTTAACATTTTTTTTTTTACTTTTGTTGGGTTATTTGTTTCAAGATATTTTTAATGTATTAATTAAGAGTACAAGCTCTGTAACAAACATGCATTTATCAAACAATTTCTCTCCAACTGTGACTTTCCTTTTACATATCCTGTTAACATTTTATTATAAAAAATTTAAAACATACAGGAAAGTTGAACGAATTGTACAGCAAACATTCATATATGCCCAGTACCTAGTTGATGCAATTAACATATACTTGTTTTACCATCTGTATCATCTTTCCATTATACATACATGAATCCATCTTTTGTTTTGTTTTGTTTTTTACTTTTTTGTATGCATTTGAAAAAATGAAAGATCTCAATATACTTACTTCCAAAAATGTCAGCATGTATATGATCAACCAGATGTCAGTGTTTTCTTGGGGTTCCTTTTTGCTATTGTGGTAAAATTTGCATATAATCCAATGCATAAATCTTAAGTGTACCATTCTATGATTTTCACACATTTACAATCTTATGTAACCCAACCTCCTATCAGGATATAAAATGTTACTCTCATTCCACAAAGTTCTGTTACACTATTTCCCAAGTTAGTCTTCATCTCCCCACCTCAGGCAACTCAGTTCTGGCATATTTCTACCATAGAAATTTCATCCATTCTAGAACTTTATATAATTGAATCATCCTCTTGTGTAAGGCTTCCTTCATCAAGTACAATATTTTTGAGACTCTGCTAGATTGCTATAGATATTAGCAGTTCCTTTTTATTCCTTAGTGGTGCTTCATCATTATGAACGGAATGCCCCCTGGCCCATCCATAGTTTGAAGCTCGAACCCTCATGATGACGTTATTTGGCAACAGGGATTTTAGGGGGAAATTAGGCTTGATGAGGCTGGCAGCATGGAACCCTAGTCTGATGGAATTAGTGCCCTAATAAAAAGAAATACAAGCGACATTGTTCAGTGTCTCCTATGTGTGAAGACACAGAGAGAAGGTGACCATCTACAACCCATGCTGGCACCTTCAGGCCGGATTTTCCAGTCTCCATTGGTCTTTCTGATGTGTCCACCCTCCTATTGGTCTTGACCTCCCTATCTCCCCAACATGTGCTCTTCTATGTTTGTCCAATAAATGGCTAATTTTAGATTAGCTGAAAACTACTATGTAGCCAATATAATCCATATTTTGATCTTAGCTAGTTATTGAAGTTGCACTGTATATAACTGCACTGTATATAACATAATGATGTTTAATGAAAGGAATTTTTTTTAATGGAAGGACTTTTTTTTTTAATTTATTATAAAGCATAACAGAAAACACCCTGATAGAGAATAAAGAGTTACTGATTTCAGTCATAATGTTACCAGGAATCAAAATAACTATGGCATCTCAGATGCATTAATTCTAGTGTGCTGTTTCCTTTCTTTCTGAAAAGAGTAGGTTAAAATATGTGATTACTAATGTCCCTAACAGTTCTAAAGGCATATGCTTCTATGATATTTGGTTGGGTTTTTGTTTTTGTTTTTGGTGTGTGATTCTAAAATAGCTTCAGAATACAAATATTTTTAAGGGGTGCTTAATTACTAAATAGAAATCAACAGAAGAGGATAAACATTAGGGCTTTCAGAATTTTTTTAAAAAAATATGTTTTTTACTCTTCCAAGTAAAGCTACATTTTCCTTTGCATTTCATAGTCCATCATTCCCACCAAAATGAAAGCGTATAGGTTCTTAAATAATTCATAGTAGAGCTTAAATTCCTTGAGGGTCTGGCAAGCTTTAAGCTTGGAAAAGATGATATAAAATATTGCCAATGGCCAACCTCAACTTGCTAACCCAAATATAAATCTCTCCTTGTTCAGTATATGAATTTATAATGTAAACTGTTTTTAATTATACCTTGACTCTTGAATAGAATTAAGGCACTATTGAGCTACTCCGAAAATAAGAAAGAACAGTGTGTTTAATCAACTCAGAGAGTGTTATTCTTAAAGAAAATCTTACTACATCATTTTAGACCCAAAAAAGAGAAAACTGGGCATGTGAGTGACTCAGGATCATCTGTCATCAAACATGGGCTCAATCCAGAGAAAGTCTTCATGCAAGTTCATTATTTAAAGGTAAGCACATCTACATGGCAGAAGCCAGGAATTATGGGGGGGGCACTTTTTAAGTTATACAGCAGCAATGGTTAGTAAACAACAATGATTAGTAACATGACTGAAGCAAAACAAACAAAAAAATCACTTTGAAATGACATTTGACTGGGTATATGATTGTCTATAGTTAAAGCCTTCACCCCCCCACCCCAAATAATGCACATTTGGAAGGCATGAATCAAAAGTAGCAAAGCTATATTCCCTACCTTATATCCACCTTCTCCCTGCTTCATGTCACTTTTGAACAGCAGAACCTAAAAATGCTTTAGGGTAAAAAATAGAAAGTAGGAGTAATAAGGAATTACTTTAAGTTGTAAAGGCCTTTCCTGCCAGCTAAGGGAGAGAGGCCTGAGACTGTCTCCTCTTTTGGTACATGATGGATAACCAGGTTTCATGGAAACCGAGAACTAAGGGAACCAAGGGAAACCAAGCAATGAGTTGAAAACAAAATGGTCAGTTCTGAATTTCTAGACCCAGTCTTGCTTGTAAGAATATAAAGGTCAGCCTGAGACAGCTCATACAAAACTTTCTTGATGTGCATAATGTGTTGGTGGGTAAGTTAGAATTGACTGTGTGAACATTTTTCAGATGAACCAATGATAGGCATCTTTTCTTCTGCTTTTTCTAGGGCTATTTCCTTCTCCGGTTCCTTGCCAGAAGAATTGGAGAGGACACCTATTTTTCATTTTTAAGAAAATTTGTGCATGCTTTTCATGGGCAGTTGATTCTTTCTCAGGTAATTTATGGATCCTCTTGAGTCCATGATATGTAACTGGAAAGGGTGTGCCTTTGGGAACTAAGTCATGTGGATATTTAAAAGTAGGGGAAAGATTTACAGCTTAGTGCAATAGGAAAAATAGGAAGTTAATGAAGTGAGCACAGGGGATGTGTTGTTTCAGGCTAGGTGATCTTCCTGTGCTTTGGGGGCAGACTGTAACCCAAAACTGTCCTGCACAGTCATGTAGACAGTTGCACCTTAACGGACCTTAAAAACAAAACAGAGAAATACTGCTCTTCCCTCTCCTCAGAATGATCTTTGTAAGGTTTATTCCTTCTGATTATTTCATCTTAACTTGAATTCCATAATCTCCGAATCATCCCTGCCAAACAAATGTGTATCCACCCTGTTACTCTCTACCCCTGACCTTTTCATTGCCTTCATTATTATTGTGTTATTTTCTTTTATGGGCAAGTTGGTTTCTTTGATGTTTCTTCCATTCTATATATATGTTCAACAAGGCTAGGCTCTGTTTTTATTTCACCAATACTTTATACATGACTGGCACATAGGTATGCTCTATATAAAGGTGAGAAACTTATAATAACAAGAAATATACAGACACCCTGGTCACAAACTATCAGAGAAAGACTGTCAGCTTGTAATGGGAGTGAGCTGCACATAGTAATAAACTAAACAAAAAGGGACACTGTCAAAACAGTGCTATTAACTGGTTGGTAAGTGATGACTGAGAGGTATATTTGATATTCCACAATTATATTCATATGCAGCTTTGAAGTAACATTATTCACAATGTTAGATGTAAAGGATATGCCTGTATAGTATGAAAACATGCAAGGAAATCATGAGTTTGCAAGCCTAGATTGAATGAGATCTATCCATGTGCTATAGAAGGTCAAAGCGCAGTGATAAGGTTGAGGACTGGTCACAGTCTAAGGGTTCTCACCTGCATGTGTGCACAGACACAGAATGCCAGTTATCTATCAGTAATGATGTGGATGTGGAGGGGTTCCATTTGCTTGGAGGATTGTTTTCCAGCCATATACTTCTTTCTTTTTTTTTTTTAAAAGATTTATTTATTTACTCATACAGAACTGGGTACAAGCCAGAGATGTGGTGGGTGAGAGGATTCACCAGAGACAGACTGGGGAGCAGAACAGGCAGATCAATGAAGTATACTGCCGAGGGGAGCAGCGGGCAGGCCAGGAGAGGTCTGCCGCCCCATGTGGATCACCTCTGGGGCAGGCGGGGATCGAACTCATGGGGAAATGGCTTAAGCTTCTTAGTGCAGCACTTTAACCTGGAGGGCCTGCCATATACTTTTAACATATGTGTATTAGCAGTTCAAATGGTTGTCTTTGACAGAACCGAAAGCTGGGTTTTGTTTTCTCACCCAAACAGCCAATTTCCCTTCTGCCTATCAAGCTCCATCCACTTATATTTGGAGTCAGGATTGACATATGAGAATTTGTTACTTCAATTTTATCTTTAGCTTTCTGTTTCTATTTATTTATCTATTTGATTTTGTATGGCTTTTCTTCATTTTGATTTAGATAGGCATGTTCCTTTCAACATTCCTCATAGGGGAAATCTCATAGGAGTTTGCAAACTCCTTCAGTTTTAATTTGTCTGGGAAGATTTCTATTTTTCCCTTCTATCTGAAGGAAAGTTTTGCAAGATATAGTATTTTTGACTGGCAATTTTTGAATATCAGTGCATTCTCTCCTTACTTATACAGTAATCATAAGTTGATAACTCTGATGTAAGCCTGCTAGGAATACCTTTGTAAGTTACCTGCTTTTTCACCCTAGCCACCTTCTGTATTTTTCTTTGTCTAGTATTGTTGATATTGATAGTTCCACTACTATATGTCTTAATGTAGGTGTGGTGCCAGTTAGGTAACCCACTGTTCTTTAGTATCTTGGACTGGCATAGGAAGTTTTTCTCTATTATCTCCTTGAATAGGCTCTCTATTCCCCACCCCTTTTCTCCCTTCTCAGATACTCCTTATTGTTATATTGGCTGTCTTAACCAGACAGTTCTTGAGTGGCCTCTTCATTTATTTTTTAACACCTCATTTCTCTCTTTCACTTGAGTCCTTAGTGTATTACTACCGTTGAGGATACTATTCAGTCCTCTATTTGATCTATTCTACTTCTTAGCTTTTTCTAGAGTTCTTGATCTAATTTATTGATCAAATGGAGTACATATACTCTATTTTCTTATTCAAAGCTTCAACTTCTGTCTTCTGTCAATTGACTTTATTTTTTAGTTCATGATGGCATTTTTGAATTTTGTTGTATCTCTCATTCGCTTTTCTGAGTTCTCTTGTGCTACTTTCACTTGCCTTCTGAATTTTATTCTATTTCTTTGAGTTTATTATAGCAATTCTTATATAAAGCTAATTTATACTAGTGAGATATAATCTTCCATCTTTTTGCATTTCGAGTCTAAAGAGTTGTTCTCTCCTTGTAATGTCTTACTCTCTTGAGGTCTCATATTTCCATGTATTATATATTTTATTTGTCCATTTTACATGAAAGCTCCCTATTTTATTTTTGTTTTTACTATGTTTAGCAGTAACATAGTAGGTTAAACTGTTTTACTGTTCACAAAGGTAATACTGTGGTTTTATTAGTTTCATACTTATTTTGATCTTTGATGACTTCTGCGTATATTCATAGCGCTTTTGTGATTGCTGAGTCAGCAGAATGCTGAGGGTCTTGGAAGGATCCAGATGTTGGTATGAATGAGTTAAGGTGGTGCTAGCTCATTTTTGTGCTTTCCCTGGTATCCCTTCTCTCTGGGGTTTGAAATGAGAGACTCAGCAGTCGCTATGCTCTCAGTGCACAATCACCTTTCCCAGGAAGTGGGAAAGGGAAATGCAGATCAGAATGCCCCCTCTGTTATGATCTAAACTGGGGACCCAATCTGTGTGGAATATACCAGCTCCTCCACGGGTTTTGCTCTCTTTTATGGAAGTATACTTCCACAAATTCTGCTCTCTCCTCCAGTGTCCCTGGCTTACTACTGATAGACCTGCCACCCGTGTCCTCTATTTCAGACTACAACTTCCAGGTTCCACACTCCACCCACCTTTTGTTTGGTATAGCATGCATTTCCTCAGTGTTAACCCTGTTGAAGTTTGAGGGGTCTTACTGTAGTGGGCTTGCTTCCAAGACCTACCTACTTCTCACTGAGGTGTCCAGCTGCCTTCAATTTGTGGAGGTGCTACCATCCTGGGGCCCACTGAGATTTGTCAGGGCCTATCGCAGTGGGTTTGCTTCCAGGACCTACCCCAGGTCTGACTGAGTTCTGTAGATGCCTATCACTGGTAGGTCTGCTTCAGGATCCATCCTGGAGCTTGCTGGCGTCTGCTGGGGCCTACCATATAAGGGCTGCTTGCCAGTTCCTCTCTGATGCTTGTTGGGCTCTATGAGCCATGGGGCTCATCTTGCCTGCCTGGAATACCTGCTTGATCAATTCCATTGTTCTCTGGGCTCCTCTCTTTCTGGACATTTTTCTTAGTGTGTGCTGTAACTGTCTGTTTTTCCTTCAGGAGTTATTGCTTGTTTTGTTCCAGTCTCACTCTGAGTATATTAGACAGTGAGCCCAGGGTCTACACTTTGCTGATATCTTGCAGCTCTCTTCCTCCTTATGGCTTTGATTTACATTTCCCTAATGAAAAATAATGATAAAAAATTTTTTATGTGCCTTTGGGCAATCTGTACCTGTACTTTTAGTAAGTGTCTGCACATTTTTTGGTTGGATTATTTGCTCTCATTTTGTTGAACTGTGTAAGATCTTTTCAAATTCTGGGTATTAGCTTCCTGTTGCAAGTACAATTTGAAAATATTTTCTCTCATTCAAAGGAAGTATTTTCATTTTAATCACTTCTATGTGCAGAGCTTTTTAATGTGATGTAATACTATTCTCTTTATTTTTTTGTTTTGTTTCCCTTGCTATTGGGAGAGTCCCCAAAGACATATCTAAGACCAACGTGAGGGAATATATCACCTGTTTTACTGTATGTATTTTATGCTTTAAGGACTGAGCATATTTTCATGTGCTTTTTTTGGCCATTTGTATATCTTTTTGCACAAAAGAAAATCTATTTAGATCCTTTGCCACTTTTCATATTTGATTCTTTTATTTTCTTGTGTTGTAAAGAGCACTTTCATATATTCTGGATTAAATTTCCTTATCAGATATATGATTTCCATATTCCATATATGATTTCCCTCATTTTGTGAGTTGTCTTTTCACTTCCTAGATTATGTTCTTAATAGCAAAGAGACTTTAAAGTTTTGACAAGTTCAATTTATCTTTTTTCTCTTTGGTTGTTTGGACTTAAGGTATCAAAGCTGGGAAACCATAAAATTTTAGTCCTATGTTTACTTATAAGAATTTGGGGTTTTTCTTTGGGGGGTGGGTGTAGGGAGTGTGGTCAGGAGTCCTGGAGTTATTGCTATACTAGATTGATGTGTAGAATGGATGGAGAAAGCTTCTATTCATCTCCTTGCTCCAAAAATCCATGTAATATATAGATTAAGGGACATATCAGGTATTAGACTGATAAAAACATATACTACACTTGGTCTTAGCTAAAAGACTGAGAAGCAGTTGGTTTTAGGTCTTATATTTCTGATCCACTTTGAGTTACTTTTTGAGATACGGTGTGAGGAAGATATTCAAACTTCATTCTTTTGCATGTAGATATCCACTTATCCCATGACCATTTAATGAAATGCTGCTCTTTCCCTCTATTAAATTAATTATCTTGGGACACTTGTCAAAAATGAATTGACCAAAAATGTAAGAGTTTATGTCTGGACTCTCAATTATATTCCATTGATCTCTATTTCTGCCCTTACATTAGTAACAGTAGGTTTGGATATTATTGCCTTTTCATCTGATATATTCACTTTTAAAAACCAAGACAGAAAATACAAAAAGGGAATGTAAAGTAGCATTTAATATCCTGCTACCCCAAAATA